TTTTATAAAAATAAAATATTAAATTATCTTAAATAAATATAAAATTATATATATATAATCTAAAAATAAAACTTTTTAATTTAATGATTAAATTTACAAAATTTATATTTAATATAAAATTATTAAGTAATGTAATACTTAATAAAAGTTACATCGATATTATTATAAACCTCATTTTACACACACACACACGGTTAACAACGGTCTAAAATGTGAAAGGCGCAAATGCGATGTTCATGCGATGTTCTAGCCATGGTGATATTAATTAATATAAGAAAAACACTTCCATAATACCCTAGCGTACCATTAAATGCTGACAGCGCTCAACAGGTGATTATAGTTTTGCAGATTCTACTTTTCTAGTACATTTACAGTGCATTTCAGATAGTACACAATTGGAGGTCTACTGATCAGACCATGCCAGTAACCCGGACACTACACTAAAAAAATTTCAAGATGTTAGGTGTATTAGTACAAACAGTAACGCCAAACAGCTGACTCCTCGGCATTCATCTATTAAATGACTACAAATTTATTCAGTTTTTCACTGGTTGGACCATCTTTTCCCATTGTAACATCATGATGGGCCCTTCATGAAACGTCATGCATTTTCTGCATCATTGGCAGCTTCCTTGAATGCAGCAGCCAAGTACTCAGCAAGGCTTGGTTCAGAACTGAACTTGTCAGAAGCAGGAGCAGCAGATGATCCCTCCGTTTTTGTACTAGTTGATTTTGAAATCCAGGGTTTTGAATTCTTAGGTATATGTGTCGTATTTAAAGAACCACTATTTGCCTTCCATATTATAGGTTCTAAATGCTTCCATGGATCTTCAACCATGGAACTCTTGTAAAATTGAGCTGGACCACGAGATATGTTTTCATTGGACCTGTAATCATGAAAATTACCCCGTCCTGAAACAGGGCTTCCAGTGTTGCGCCAGAAACCCCTCCCTCGCCCTTGAACAGGGCTAGGACTGTTCCTGTATCCTGGAGAAGGATTAGGACTGTAACTGGGCCGATTAGTTATGCCTTGTGCAGGATTATTAGGACTGTAATTGGGAATATAAGCAGTGCCCTGTGCATAGTTATTAGGACTGAAACTAGGCCGATGAGTTATGCCCTGTGCATAGTTATTAGGACTGAAACTAGGCCGATGAGTTATGCCCTGTGCAGGGTTATTAGGACTGAAATTGGGAATATGAGCAGTTCCCAGTGCATAGTTATTATGATTGAAACTAGGCCGATGAGCTATGCCCTGTGTAGAGTTATATGATGGACCACCTGATGGTTCAAATCTAGGACTTGCATTAGCACCACCACTTGACGGATGGAATGAAAAATTATAGTGAGGAGGTTCTTTAGGTCCACTCCAGACTGGGTTTCTATATGCAGCTGGCGATAGTTGATTAGGAGGCGGAGTCACCTGTGGATTTGTTGATTCTGTTATTTCCAATCAATGAATGTGAGTTGTCAGAGAGGAAAAGTTTAAGGTAAATCTAGATAGAGATCAGGGTACACGAGAAATTCCAGGTGACCAGAATACTAAAGAACATAACAAAACAATTACCTTGTAAAAGTAATGCTGCATATCTTTATTCAACTATTATTTATAATAAAAATACACCAGAGAACCTTCTCATACATTAAATTAAAGAGAAACATTAAGTTTTGGTATTTGAAAGATTGGGATTGTATCATTTAAGTCATCCAAAAATTATAATTAATATCTGAATTGGAATAAAGTCCTTTAGGCTAAATTGATATGATTTACATAATCTTTGGAAGACTAGACTTCCTTCTTGATTGAGTCAAATTTTAAAATGGTGTAGATTTTAGTCAATTGATGCAAATAATCTTCTGAGAACTAATTCAATGTAAACTCGATATTTGAAGGGGAAAAATATCAGTCTACTTATTAAGAAGGTGTAAGAGGGGAAGGGGTGTTGAGGGATTGTAAAGTCCTTTTTCCAGCATGCATGGATGTAGTATGAGTAATATTCGGCATAAATTAGGTTTATTATCTTAACGTTACATGAATCTATAAGATTATTATCGGAAAGTTACTTACAAATCTTAAAGAATGAATACCAATGTCAGGCGAACAGTAATGGATAGACGTGTACCTGGATGTGGTGATGAATATTGTGCCACAGGAGAACCACCAAATTTTGAAGGAGGGAAATTATCTGGTGCAGCCTGGATACTGGCATTGTACCTTTTGTTAGAAGAGAATGCACTCATTGGATCAGTATAATAGTCAAACCTTGGAGCAGCATATGATCTATCCTGTGATGGCATAGTTGAAGGAGCTTCAATCAGGGGATTTGAGAGAAAACCGGGCATTGGGGAACCTTCAACACCACCAGAAACTTCAGCTTGATCAGCTTGCATGCGCATTTCTTTCAGCCTTTTCTTCCTTTGCTCTGAATCCTCCATGTAACCTGAGAATCCAAAAGGCAATTACAGCCACAAGTCACCATATGTTATATGGATAACAGCCACCACAAATTAGTCACAAACACATCAACTTAAAATGTGCTCATAAACAGCATGAAAGCAGCAAAAAAAAAAAAAAAGTAAACCGAATAACTCCTTAGGGCTAATGCCCTTTTAAATTTTTGTTTGACAAGAAACTTAGGGAAAACTGTTAATATTGTAGGCAAATAGTAATCTTATCATGTACTAGATTTTTATTCAATGCACCATTACTTACTTCAGAAAAGGACATGGTCAAAATTTGAACCTTTTCACTCCAATACTGAATATAAAATCACAATATAGCTAAACAAACACATACAATAATACCTGCAAAAACTACAAATACTTCTACACAGTGGGAACATATCTTGAACAGGAGAATAACAGGTAAGCCAGTTTACTGTAAACCTTAAGAGTATGAAATTATCAAAAAATTAAACTTTAATGAAGTTAACATACATTGAATCAAACCCCAAACCAAATTCTGATCAGCCTGTTCATGGTTCAGGTTCAGCATAAAAAATGACCCAAACCACACTGTTAGTAAGGTTTGGTGAAACTAAACTAAACTGGTTATATTCTTGAAGAACCAAATCAAACTGAATCCTTAGATTCCCTGGATTAAATACTATTAAAATCTTGATTAATAGAAATTATAAGGCATAACTGTACATTTAATTATGAGAAAATATATTAAATCAGAAGTATCAGAGATAAAATCTCAGAACCCAATGATTTCATGTTCACAGAAATTCCTATCCTTATATGAAGCAAGTGATTCCCTTCACAATTTTGTTTTCATGTCTTGATAGAGAACTTGTAATTAGGGTTTGCAACCTATAAAAATATGAATCTCTTATAGTTAAGACAAGCATATCAAAGATGACAAGCCGTGAGTAACAAAGCAACTAGAAAGAGAGCTCAAAGTATGAATCGGAACTTGTGCAAACTGAAACTTTTAAGGAGGTTCAATTAAGATTTTGCAAAATAAATATATACTAACTAGACAGTGGCAAAACATATGTATTCTCAATTATAATCAGCAACTTGTTGAATATTACTTATGCAAATAACCAGTGTTATCAATGCCTTATTTAGCATAACTGAAGGTCTAAAACCATGCCATGAACTAACTCTTCCCAAAAGTTTAACCATTTGAGTGTAGGCGTGTGAATGGTTATATTTACACATCAAGCACAGCACAAATGGGAAAATATTGTGTCTTCCAAACATTCATATATAGCATCATATGCAAATTGCACTACGAATAACCAAATTAACAATCAATCAAGATCAAAACCACAATCAAAGCTTCAATTCAAGTTTAGTATAACTAAGAAATCACCTTGTAGGAGCCTAAAGAACTTGGTCACCTAAAGAACTGGGTCACACCGTCTATGAGAAGGTAAAGAATCTTAGTATCAGGCAAAATCAAAGAGAGGAAGAGAGAACAAAAGAGTCCTGTATCCTCAAACTGGATTTTACAACATGTAAATCCATATATCCTATTATGAACATTTTACTCCGTGTATCAGAGGATTTATTGTTGTTAAGGGGAAAGTGATCCAACAGATCTAATGAACTGGTGGATACAGGATGATAGCCTGCAAGATAAAAAAAATAAAAATAAAAAAAGTAGGAAGAGAATTAGAGGTATACTTATAGTCAAACTCTCCTCTTACTGAATATCATATTTTTCAATTTTGTATAGTTCTATAACCTTTTAAGTTTGTCCCTTTCCACTCTCCAACTGCAAATAATCACATCTAACAATCAACTCTTTAAATCTGCAAATCAACATGACAAATTCATAGTGTCATTCTTCTTCAGCAAAATCAATTTATTCATGAACTATATTGATTCATACTCACCACTCAAAAATCATGTAATCTATAATAAAGAATTTGTTACTACTCTAGTGACTCTCCTCTAACAGCTGGAGGCATCAATTTATCAGTTTCCCATGTATCTCCCGCATCAACAACTTAGAATTAGCAGCAATGTGTTTGCTTTTATAAACAATATCTCTACATAATTCATGTCTTGGAGCTGGCCTCACTGATCTTAATTGAAAAAGGGGATTTGTTATAACATTACTACTATACAACTCTCTTGCAGGCTGGACATGCTTCCACCAGAAATCATATAGCGCTATTTTCATTACATCCCAATACTCTGCATCACGATGTATCCTGAATAGACTACTACCATTAGGAGTCCAAACATAAAAATCCATCCAATCCCTTCCAAGAATCTCCATCAAACCCTGAGCTTGAGGAATATAGTGAATTGGAATTCGAGACCAAGGGAAAGCTTTGCTTATGTTCCCATCAAAATATGGACACTTTATCTCTAGTACTCCCCGAGAGGGCAACTCATGCACCAGACTGTCAATTACACCGTCAGGTGAAGCAGCTAGCCATCTATCTTCTGTGTGTACATCATAGACCTGAAATTCAGGAAACAACACAGTATTTCCAGTTATCAGTTTGTATCTTTCAAGTGCCTCCTCCTCTTTGATATTGCTCCAACAAGTGGCAAGGTTTCCAGAGAAAGGTTCAATCGCACCAATCTTCTCTAACCAAAGCTGGACCCTTTGCCGACGCCAAAACCCAATAGCAGCAGCGAAAGTGCTAGCTGTCAATTTGTTTCTCCGAAGTGTTTGCCAGTTTTTAAACCAGTGTTGAAGGCAGCTTGCTTGTAAGACTGAATAAGTTTCAACAGACGTGTATTTTAACATGCCACCAGGTATCCCAATTTTCTAGAGGGGTTAAAGAAGCATGACTATTTGTATTAGATTCTCTAATGACCAGCACAGAAGCATTACTACTAAAGTTTCTCTAATTACTTAGACATGCAACAAGTGCATCCACATAACAGCTACTTTTGTGCCTGAAAAATTGCAGCCAAACAAGAAGAATGAAGAAACAGTTTCACCATTGTTAAAGAAGAGAGAAACTGACACTTGAACTGTAGATATAACCTAGGGAACAAACTGAATAGGTAAATGGCATTTAAAAGAGCAATAGTGTAGGTAAATCATGGCAATGGTGACTTTCCCATGAACATTCAACATGTATATGGTTTCATTCCATGTTAGCAAAGAACTAGTTGCGAAAAGCTCAATCTTTGAGATTCTTAAAATCAAAACACCTTTCTACATTACAGTCCAGAGGAATTCTAAAGTATGCAATGATTGTGGCATTTCATCAAACATAATGACACAAAGATTCACATACCCACAGAAACAGAACAGACCTATACCACGAAGTTAGAGATAGAACATGGAAGAGGTGTTGATGTGAGAAAGAAAGAGGCGCAAGATAGCTTTTACCATAAGTAATGAAGTTGACTGTAGATATCGTATCTTGGATCAATCATGGTGGCCATGGAGTCATGGACAGAGAAAAAGAGAAAGAGAACGGTAGAAACATCCATGTATTGCTTAACAGTCAGATAGATCAAGTACAAATCAATTATTTGTTCTGGTGTATAAATTTTTTTATGTTTTTTTTATTTAATTTTCTTTTAAGGTACGACTAAATTTACTTAGTTGCAAAACTACATGAACTTCATTCTCACCTGTATAAGCGCAACCATGCAATCCAACTTTGACATGATAAACTTATAGGCCCGTACAATGCTGATCCTCAATGATCAACTTGATACCAATCTAACATCGTAAAAATTGGGATTATCTGAACAATTAATTACTTCAATCATACAGTGTAGTTTATACTATATGGTAAATTTAGACCAATAAACAATGTGAATTGAATAGGTTTTCAAAAAAGGCCGTTAACTAAGGTTCAGGCCACTACCAATATCTCCTACAACCCAACTTAGTGACTGAAATCCCCAACTGATTTCAAATTAACTAAGGGTAAATCATTAAATTCCATTCCCTTAAATACAATCTTATCGAACTAAACTGCTCGATACTCTAACATGTTTGAAGTACCCGCAGAGGTAAACAACAACGAGAGATGGCTCAAAAAGTGTCAACATCACAAAATAAGCACCACAGAGATAGAAAATTGCTGAACAGAATAAATATCAAGTAACATCACAATTCAATGTTAAGCCTCCTAGCCCCTTTTTCCATCGTAAGCTAGAGTCACACACAATTCAGAAAAATACCACTGCATGGTTAAGATTTTAATGTAAACAAAATAAAATAAAAAAAATACTCACAATGATTCAGTCTTCACTCCTCAAAACTTTGAAGAAATAAAAAAAGAAACGGGAATCAAGTTCTGAGGTAAAGAATGAAGTTAGGTTAAAAACAAAATAAAATGGAAAGCATAATTGTTTGTGAGAGAGAAACGTACAATTACAACGGATTGGGCTGGGCCAAATCAAAGGAGGTCCACGAAGGAATAAGAAGGTCGAGACGCAGAGAGAGAGGCTAGGTTAGGTTCATAAGCGAAGATGAGAGGATTTTCAGAATTCTTTCTGTTCCCCACATTTTACTTTTTAAGTTTATTTATCAAAATTGGATAAAAAAAATATATTTTTTTTATAGAAATAAAAACATAACCTATAATATTTTTAAATTTTCTTACAAGCTTAATTTCTTTTTGAAATTCCTCAAATAATATTAAATATATTATTCGGGTTTATGAAAAAAGTCAAATTTAAAATTCATAAGACTCGGAGTTTTTTAATTTGAGAATTAGCCTTTTAAGTTGAGAATCATTTGTTTTAATAATATGTTGTTCTCCGACGTCTACATTGATTGGATTTTACTTATCATCCAACTAATTAGATTAATTTAAAACAAAACTTTGAAATATTGATGAAAAATTAAAAAATTATTTAACCTCTAGGTGGTTTCTGTGAGCCACAACATATATATCATCGACAACCTGGTCGATATTTGCATTAGTTAGTGTTTTTTTGTTTGATCATTTTGTTCACCAAAAAATAATATTTAAATTATTTAGTTAAATGAAAAGATTAATATGTGTATTAATCCAACCTATTTAATCAAGAGATTAATAATTGTGATCATATAAACATTATTTTATCACGCCTTATAATTTATTAGTAGAATTAAGACACTCTATGTCTTTATGTATTTTTTTTTAAAATATTAAATATAAAAAAATTTAGAGAGTTGATGAGTTATACATGTATTACTGCTGCAATTACAACATAAGAAAAGTGTGCTTAATCTAAATTTTTGTGTTTATATTTTAATGGTGATCTTATTTAAAAAAGTGTACAAATAACAAATAAGGGTAAAATTAAAAATATTTGAAAAAATATAAATAAATTAGTTAAGGATAAATGTGTCTTAAGAAAAGTGAAAATCAAAAAACTAATATTTCTTTTATCTATTATTATAGTTAATTTATAATGTCAAACTTTTGTCACATGTCATCTTCTTGTGTATTATTTTCTCTTTTTTATATCACCGGTAGATTATTCTAGTTTTTTAACAATGACTTAATTGTATCTTTTCCTATCTAAATCTCGAGACTTTGCTAATTTTGCCATTTAACATTTGAAATTGTGTATTTTTTTCATATAATTTTTTAACTTTTGCATATTTTTCACTCATTGATTGATTATTTATCTATATTAATTGATTGTTAACATAACATGTTAATTGTCAATGTGACATGTTGACTGTAAATGTAGATTAATAATAGTGATAGTTAGATGATAACATAAAATGATGTATTACATTGATAACATAACATGTTAACAACCAACATGACATATCAGTGATCAATATGACACATCAACATGTCACATTCACAGTCATCTACAATTAAATAATCAATTAATAGGTGATAAAAGTTTGAAAGTTAAGTAACAAAATATACAATTTCAAAAGATTTTTATTAATTTGCAACTTACAAGTAAGATTATGGAGAGTGTTGTTGTGAGAAGTCCATCGATGAATATATATTTATCAATTGAAGTCCTTGATTTTTTTGTGTGCACATAGGAGAGAGAATAAGAGATACTAAAGAGAGTGAGAACATGTATATGAGTTAAGCATTTTTTGAATAAGAACTTGCCTTAAATTAATAACTAAATGAATTATCTCAAATTAAAGTTACACACATAAACTCACTCAAAGAAATAATGAGTTGTTTGTTTGATGAGCATTGCAGATGCTCTTATGATAGCAACTCCTAGTAACTTTTGATATAGTTCGTCAACTAGAGTTGCTCCAAGTCTCTTGATCTTTCCTTGAACTCCTCCTTTGTTAAGATAGATTGAAGAACACCTTGGGAATATGCTAAACCTCTAGAGTTGGAAGCACTCCAACCAAGGCCTCAAGGGATTGCTCATAAGGAAAGGTGAGCCTAGAAGAGGAATTTTTGGAATTCCTAAAGTTCTAAGCTCAAGGTGACTTCAGGTTGAGAGAGAAATTGCTCAAATGCATGATGCTTTGTATATACAACTCAAAGTGAATACAAATAAGGGAGGAGAGCTTAATTTATAAGCTAAGGGAAGAATGAATGTGAAGCCACAAAGTGACTAGGTGCATTGATGCCAAAATTTGTATTCAAATGAGATTTGAATTCAAATTTTGGCTTACCAATGACATCACCATATGCAACCACAAAATTCGGTTGTATTTAGGTTGGATTTGGATGTCATTTGGTGTAGATCAAGTGTAGGCCACCTTAGGCTAGCACATGTACACTAAATGCATAATAAATTAAACTTAAATGTGACCTAATTTTAACTAACTTGCCTATTTAATATTTTATCCTCAATCTAATCTAATGACCTAAATATAATAGTCTACATATCCTAAACATCAAGAAATAATAAAAATAAGTAAAACAAGCCCAATATTGAGTATCAAAAGACCTAAGACCCATTAAATCCAAAATAGGCCCAATAAAACAATGTAGCCCCAAAATCTTATTTTGTTAGATTTAAAATACAAGGTCAAAATATGACACCTAATATATGATAAGAGACTATATAGAAACATATATATGGAAGTATTAGACTTAATTAGTGACCCATAATTCAAGACAAGCCTAGATTTACTAACCTAAAAATGGGCCCAATCTTATTAGAGTCTTCATGATTAGTCCATTCCCCTTAAGTCCTACAATGTGTCACCTCTTGTCCTTCTTGTCATGTTTCCATCATCTTAGCATTACAAGGTTGCTGTCCAATGTTGATTTATCTCTATGTTTTGTTTGATCAAGCTAAATTAGGTTGTGTACTAATGCTAATAAAAGATTTTTCATTGCAAAATATTCTCACATAGATTCATATTTTATTTGGAGGTCGTTGAGCACGATCTTCATCCATAACAATTCACCAACTCCTTGGTTATATATACAAGTATTTTGCCTTTGCACTTGATTTTGCTACTAGATTTGTTGTTTACTTCTCCTTGTTATTAAATTTCCTCCAAAAATCCGTGCAATATGTTGTGGTGAATCTCCAGTGAATGATATACCCTTAGCATCTTGTGAATGCTTCTCTACCAATTGAAGTTTATGCTGGACCATATTATGTTTTTGTCTTCCCTAAATTGGAGCCCAGATTTTCTTTACCGCTCATTATTTTACGTTGGTATTGATATTGGTTCATGTTCGTTGCATTGTCAGCAAAAGCAAGTGTACTACTCGAAGATCACAAAATCCATAAAAGGTTTAAAAAAAAAAAAAAAACTCAAGGAGTCAACTTCTAGACTAATCTTCTCCTAAAGTTAGGAACAATTATAGGAGGATTCAGTTTCATGAAAAGTTACATTTCTGAAGACAAAGACACAATGACCTTTTATATGTTAACATATGTATCCCTTTTTCATCTGGGGCTCACCTTGCTAAAGATACATTTGACACCTCAAGAATCCAACTTCCCTTGAAAACTATGGATATGGACAAAGGAATACAAAGTAGTCACGAGTTGCAAAGAACCAACTCCATCCAAAACATGAGTGGACCACAACTTCTCCGCAGTAGGCTTTAGGGGAACAGAGATTAGGGAAACTGGGAAAGTAAAGCTCTAACAACTCCAGGGTCTCTCAACTTCCATGAATTTTAACATCTGGTCAAAGTCCATCATCTTCTCTAAATTTTATTTTTAACTAGTGAAAAAACTTATTTTGATTATTTTTTTGCTAAAAGCTTTTTTGAAAAAGTTTATCACCATAACCACGTCTCCTTAGGAGAAACAGACACTTAAACCAAATTGCGGTGTTTCAATTTCAAAGACAAGAATTTAAGCAAGTCATGAGTGAAATGTCGAGACCATTCCCCAATCATATTGAACCAAGAACTAAAATTTCCATCTGAAAGTAAAGCTACCAATGGCATGAGTGGATTATAATTTGTAAATAGCAGTTAATACAAAAGCGTCGTTTATAGATGAAACTGTAAGTCTGTAACAGTAGAACACCAAAAGCGGTCCAAATTTCGGGACGAATTTGTTTCTAAGATCTCAATTAAGGTTGGGCGAAGAATCCAACCTTTGGAGGGCTTGTTGCGCCGCAAGCAATTGGGGTTCCAATTGGAGAGCTTGCCGGTAAGCCCTAACGGCGTCGTCGTTCATCTTCTTCCGCACGTAGCACTCTCCCAGCGCGGAAAAGGCCTTGGCGTTGTTGGGGCTGAGTTCGACGGACTCCTCCAAATCGGCGAGGGCCGAGTCGACTCGGCCGCGTTGACTGGAGGCGAGTCTCAACTCGGCCCGCTTGAGGAGCGCGTCGGCGCGCTCGGAGTCGGAGAGGGAGGCGGCGGCGAGGGGGGAGAGGGCCTGGTCGATGGAGTCGAGGGCGGCGGAGCGGAGGCCCTGGAAGTCGAGGGCGAGGGCTTTGAGGAGGTAGGGGGCGGCGTCGGTGGGGTCGAGGGAGATGGCGCGCTGGGCCCGGGCTTGGGCTTCCTTGGCGAGGGCCCGGGACTTGGAGGAGCGGGCCCGGGCGAGGAGCTGGGCTCCTTCGACGAAGTGGCGCTTGGATTGGATGTCGGCGCGGTTGCGCGTGCGGAGCTTGGTCCATAGCTTTTTGGGGATGTCGTTCATGAAGAAGTAGGAGAAGACCATCAGGAGGACCATGGCTGCCTGCAAAACGATGTCGTATGCCCCTGGGTTTTTCTCAGCTTTATCCATTGCTTTTCAGATTCTGAATCTTGAATCTGGAATCGGTTTGTGCGAGGGATCCGGCAGATGGTGCTGAGAGTGAAGAGATGAAATTGAGATTGCAGTGTGTTGTTTGCTGGAAAGGAAGGAAGCATGTAAGAGAAATTGAAGCGGAGAAAAAATAAAGGAAATTTTTAATTAAATAAAAGGATAGGTCAATCACCTTTTAATTTCTCTACATTGCATTAAATAATCTCACTTTTATTTTTTTATTTTCACACTTTTCACCTTATTTTTGTTAAGTCATTTCTTCACTACCATACAAAGCACACTGCGGTACTACTACACCAGTTCTCTGGCTGGTTACAAACACTGTAGCTGCCGTGTTTGATTGGCGTTGCTGGTTTCGTTAGTTTTGTTTTAAGAGAGATACATATACATACACCTCCAGATCAGTTGAAAACTCATGATTTGGTCTTTGAAATGATTCCAGTAACAATTAATTAAATTCAACAATCGATTGTATTGGTGGGCACATTAAAAAATAAATTGAAACTACGGGTACGCATTCAAAATTTTCTTTAAGAATGTATTTACAAATTTATAAATTACAAATGAGATTTACGTTAACTTATGTGAATTTATTCATTACAGAATGTGTTCAAATTCTAATTTCTTATAACTTCTTATTCTATTTTTTATTTATTATATTTATTTATAAATTAAATTTTAATATCTTAAAATAAATTATCAACAATTAAAAATAATATTATATCACAATATAAATTATTTATTTTGAACTTAATATATATATATATAAGAATTTTTAATTAAGTAATAAAAATTAAAGTCTTAAGGCTTGCATGCAAGGTTAAATAATAAGCATCTTAAAATGTTATCAAAGACTCTTTAAAATAAAATAAAAAACAAACAAAATCTTCAAGTCTTCAACAAAATGTTAAAATATTATTCAAGGATAAAAATCGTCAATTACAAATTAAAAAGAAAATGTACAGAAGACGTTAAGAACAAGCTTTAAAATTAAAAATTATTTTTAATATATAAAAAATGCAAGCATGTATTAGCTTATTTATAAAAAAAATTAATTTATATAATAAAAAGTCATTTCAAGCGTTGCGTTGACACAGAGAGGAGATGGTAACGAAATTTCCATAATCACACACAATTGCCTTACTAGAATGAAGCGGCCAATTTGCACCACAATCAGGATTCAGAGTAAGAAGTAAGAACAGGGTTCTAGACGATGAGATACATATTGTCAAAATGATTATTACATATTTACAATCTTAAAACAATAGGAAACTCCAAATAGTTATAGCTTGGAGGCAGCAAGTCACAAAATATTTTATAGATCTCAAAGCTATTGATAAAAGAGCTTGAGGTCGTCATTTTAGCAGAGTCCAGGCAGCACCTCTTCTAAGTTACTAGAGAATTGATTGCTTTAAGTGCCCTTACGAGATGGGTTAGCAATAGCATGAAATGAATCAACCGATCGATATACATTTGCAACTACCATGCCATCAATAGGAGTATATGTATATGACCAACCAGGGTCAGGTTAATAAATTTCAGCAACAAAAAACCCAAATCAAGGGCAGCGTCTCGTTATTTCCCACCCATTCGTATCGCATCTGCTGGTGACTTCAGTAGCTTCTTTAGCGATTCAACTATGCTACCAAAAGATGGGCGATCAGCAGGGTTACTGCCAAAAAATTATCAAGAGTTAGAAAGAAATAAATGGCACAATATGTAGCGAATGATGCAGCAATTAACAAGGTAACAAAATATGAATTATGATCCTTTTTTCCCTTAAGAGTACAAGTTCCTTATATAGAAAGCGGAATTGGTTAGACACATCATCAGAAGGTCTTCCCTATTCACTCTCTAGTTTAGAAAATAAGCGAAAACTGTTAGAATTAAAATGAAATGAACCGCAACAAATAAAAACAAACTGGAAGTTTGCCAGCTTGTTTAATTTTTGGCTTCAATTTTACTAATCCAACACTCGACAATTCCAAAATGGAATCCCTTCACTCAACCACTTATATAGAAAATACACGAAGTGCAAATAAGCACAACAAAGCCCAACAATCATCATGTAAAGGTGTGGGTTGTTCAGAAATCCCAATTGACCAAGAAGATTATCTCACCCCACCCTGTAAAGCCACTTGAAATGCCAAGATATATACATAGGGAAGCCTAAATTATTGCCTTTTTGCCAGGGACCAACATATCATTAAAAGTTGGACCAAATGGACCAGTTCAATAGTAAGCGTACTTTGTATTACAAGAAAATGACATAAATAACACTTACTCGGCCCAACAAGATTCCACGAGGGAGGCCAATGCCGGGGAGATGTTTGGAGGAACAGCAAGCCTCCTATTCTGGAAAGCGACAGCTCCTACCACCTGAACGCACACATATAGATGAGCTTACAAAACTCACATATAAACTTTGCAGGTTTCATTTTGCCAAACAGTTGTTTGAAATATGCAGTTTGCATTTAAGCCTCTCTATGTTTTAGTTCCATTTAAGATTTAAATTTATAATTTCTTTTAGTGATCCTCCTCATTACCATATAAATTAAAAGATTAAAGGCAAATGATCAACTTCAGGCATCAGCAATTCAGAACCTAAATGCTCAATAAATTTACCTGGGCATGACTAAGTCCATGCCACGGTTGTTGCAGGGTCACAAGTTCCCACAGGATAACTCCAAAACTGTAAACATCAGACTTCTCATTTGAAGGTTCTCCACGAAGAAATTCTGGAGCCATCCACTCAGGCTGAAAATAAAATTAACAGAGTTACACACTTATTGAAGGTGTGGCACCGTGAAGTGAAAGTTCAACCTGCAAAATATTAATAGAATGACCACTTTTGTCAAAGGAAATTTGCCTCTAGATCTACACCAACATGCAGAACCTATTAACCCAGATAATTTACCGGACACAACCGCTCCCTTAAAACACACCTGAAAAGTACATCCTCCCCACCCAAAAAGACTGACTGATCTGTCATAAAACAAATGAGAGCCATACACCCAACCTCTCTGGTATCAATCATCTACCTAAATCAATATTATATCATTGGTCTTAGAACCGACTTGTAAGGAAATGTTAATAAGTAGTAACAGCACTGTTGTCTATTTGAATCAAGAAGTACTATGTACAGCAACATTAGTTGCACTCTCTTTACTTCATACCTGAAATTGCTACTCAAATAGTTTTCAAACCTAACGTGCATAATTATTTTTGTTCTCATCAAGCCTATGCACATAATCTGAGAAGAAGAAACTTACTGTTCCAGCAACAGATTTTGATGATAAGAAAGTGTTCGCCTTAAATCGGGACAATCCAAAATCACACACCTGAGCAAGAAATGACAAAAATAAATCATTTACTTACACAATTTTTAAAAAGATCAATGAGAAACTCAAGTTCTCAATCAGTTCCATTATACGTACCTTTACAGTCCAATTTTTGTCCACTAACAGATTTGGGGTTTTGAGATCCCAGTGCACAATTGGAGGCTTCAAACAATGGAGATAATTGATCCCTTTAGCCTACAATCAGACAAATAATATATCATATATAATTTACAAATAATTTACTGACGAGACAAAATAATAATCTGGTACAAACCACGTCTAAAGTCATCCGTAATCTTCTCCTTGGATCTAGAATCTCACCAGATGCTGGCTTATGTATTAAGCGGAATAAACTTCCTCTGTCATAAATGCAACAGGAAACAGCAGTAAGACACTCAAACCTTAATGAAAGGAAATTCAATAATATAGTTAACTCCAAAATAAAAGTTGGATGGCTTACCTAGGCAAATATTCTGTTACTATAGATAGATGAGGACGTTTAGTAACTGCACCCATGAAGAGCACCACATTTGGATGACGAACTCGTTTCATTATTGCAACCTGAGGCAATGAAAATAACTTGAATTTTAACTTGCTTCATATGCCCCTTTAGATAAGGGAACTGAGAAGTGAGTTATGTAAAATGAATTTCCAAATTATTATACTCAAACTAGGGACGCATAAAAGGATTTAATTTTAAGCTCTGCACCACATATCAACAGTACTGCACAGAATTCACTTACTTCTCCCAATAAACCATACCTTAAGTGTTAGTTATAATGTACATCCGACATTATTTTCTCATATCACTTCTGCCCACCAAATGGTGTGGACAAATCTGATCTCCACAGAAAAGGGGTTCAATTCAAGTTTATATGGGGTTCAGTGTGGGTCTAATTAAATTAATATGATGCCAAGTGTGCAGGCATGAAAAAGTTGATTTGTCTGTAATTACTAGCACAAATAGCATACCAACTAATGTAAAACAACCATTAATGAACTATGGGTCTGTGGACTACACAAAAGTTATCTGGATGCAGATACCAAATAATGTTAAAGGGCCTGAGTAGTTATTTAAGAGGTTAGATAAAACTTCCATGAAGACATCATAACAAAAATAAAGGCAAATAATTGATGCCAAAACATTAAGCGTAATGTGAATCTATGTTTTTTGCTATTAAATGTGAACATTACAATAAACAAGCTTTATCACATAAGAGAACACAGAAGGAAACACAAAAAATCACAATAAATTCCTCCTATTAAGACACAGAAATATGAGCATGTATGGAAATTCATTAGCATGTTGAGAAATAATGAGTATGTTGCTAGCATTCCTCGTGATCAATTAATATGTATGCATCCAATAGCATGCTGGGCAGACACCAATAAATAAAAAACAATGCAGATCCTGAAGAATTGGAATAAATAGGCAGTGTTGTACAATTGTTTAATCCATTTCGGAAGACAAACCTCTCTCAGAAACTCTTTCAACTGGTCATCATGGAAATCCTGAACTGTTAAAACTTTGACAGCGACATCCTGCAATTTTAAAACCATGGTAAAATGCACCAAAATGAGTGGAAATTAGAATAGAAAAGATATAAATAAGCTTTGCTAAAAATAATTATTCAAGGAGACAATACAAGATGTCCATGATTCAATATAATAAATTCTTGGCAGCTAAATGTCATTCATCCAACCAAACCACAATCAATCAGATCAGACTTATGAAACTAGGTACTATGATGACATTACAAAGTAACATTCATGAACTTGTATGTGTGCATAGAATGCAGCAAAGAAGTACATATTTAAAACTTACTGATCCATGCCATTCAGCACGATACACTGTCCCAAATGATCCTACACAAAAAGAGGAGTATTAAGATTTGATGTCACCATGTCAGTCATGTTCTTTTAAAAAAAAAAAGGAATAAGAAGCAGGGGAAGCAGATAATTTACCAGCACCAATACGCTCTTTGATTCGTAAATCATCCCATGATATCTCAAGCCAGTCCATTGCAAGTGATGGTTCAAGATTCAAGTATCTTGGAATATTCCCAGCACCCTGATTTTCAAGTTTATTTTTTCCTTCTTCCTGCTCTGATTTGCTAGATGAGCTCAGTATAGATTGCTTATAGTTACTTTTTACCCCAGAACTCCCCTTTACAATGATCTCTTTGTAGGAAGCTTCTAGTACTACAACTGAATCTTTACTGAGCCTGGGGTATTCCTGTAATGATGCTTTAGATGGGTGAAGATCTTCAGAGACACCTTCATTGATGGGAGGAAAATTTAATAAACCTAGAATTGCACATTCCTTGTCATTCCCTTTCAAGCCAAAAGGAATTAGAGGTGGTTCTGTACCTCCACAAGTTTGATCTATTGCAGCATAAATAGAGCCATTATTTTTTTTCAGCAAATCAGTTTCTTCAACTTGTTGATCTTCCTGTACACAGCCTGTAACAGTTAGAGCAACAATCAAGACAAACTTCAGAATAGGATTGGTTTCTGCAGATTAAGATTTGTTAAAACACTATGCATGCAGAAGAGTTTATGACCTCAGAGGGTGTCGATCATAAATTTTGAGAGCCAACCATACTCTACAATTACAAGCTAGGGGAGGAAAAATTCCAGAGCTTATTTTAATGCACAGGCTTATAAAACAAGTTAGGAGTTGGGCTAGGAGAGAAGTATGGAGCAAAGATCAGAAGTCCTAGAACTAGGCATACTGAAATTTTCGAGGGAATGAAAATGAAACATGTAGCTCAAACTTAATTGCTGATGTAAATAGCTCTGCTCAATTTACACAAAGCATGCAAGATGTTCGAGTGCATCTGTGTCATTGGAAAAAATAATGATCAAATTTTTATTTAGTATAATTCACACCAAAAGAACCCACCTGGTAATTAAAACAATTCAGGCCCCACTATTGTTAATAAAGTTCAAATGATATGCAACTGATTGACCAAGAATATATCAAGATTCAAGGCTACATAGATTCTGAACTTGAAATAGGAATAGTTCTATACAATATCAAATTTCCAGGTATATATAAAGCACAACTCACCTGAATATGTGTTACCAAGAGATTGAGAACATGCTGCAACATCCACATATGGTGATCGGTTTTCTTTCAAATGAGAAATCTGAAGTGGGGAAGGTATTGAAGACACGTAGGCTCCATTAATTGAGGAATCCGGCCCATGGACATTTCCTGGTTCCCCAACCAGGTCAACTACATATTCCCTGTTAAAATATAATATAAGCATATATCAAGGAACCCGTGGAAAATATGAAACAAACGCCAGGTTCTTGATAAGCTGATCTACAAGACTATAACAATTAACTGAATGTCCTACAATCTTAATAAATCATCAGTCGCATCGCAACATTCTGACATGATAAATTTAAACAGAAAGGTACAACGATAATTCATAAATTTGTGGAAACATATGAGGACCAGAAATTTTCATACGAAAAGGTACAAGCAAAACTAAGCACGTGGGCAGAGGACATATTTTGTTTAAACATCACTATCAAAACTCAAAAGAACAAAGCAAAAAAAGACCAGCGCTAACCTTGAGAGCTGTCTATCATCTTTAATCTTGACAAGGCAAGACGATCTATGATCTGAAACACAGTACCTGCAACCTCGAGCAATGCGACATGGCAAACCTATGTAATCCGCTAATCTCTGCATCCGCAAAACGAAAATGAAAGCGAATCACTTCAACATCGCATCATAAAAAATTGAGAAGAAACTAGTCTTTACTGCTTCGATTAAATGCGAAGAGATTTAGTTCCAAACACACACCGACACACCCTTCTCTTAACCCATCTATATGATACAATGACTAAGAAGTAAGAAACGTATTCTTCACCTTGAAGAGAATCGCGCGATGCCTACAGAGTCCACTAGACAAGCTACCCACGGGAAGCACAACACATTGGTGAAAGTTCCTCAACCTCTTGCTAACCAGCTTCCACCGCTTGTGTAGATCTCCTTGCTCCACCGGGAACGTACCCCTTCACACACACAATTCAACACCGAATAAACAAACAAACAAACAAACAATAACAGCCAGAAAATAACGTTAAAAAAAAAAAAAAAAATTTAACACGTACGTTTGCGCGCGTAACCGTAATAACAGTATATATCGTATTCTTATCTTACTTACCCCATGCATATGGCAACGAGTTTTCCGAGCTTCTCCACCAGCACCAACGCGTTCTCCGAAGCAGAATACAACTCTTGAGCTTTATCTTGAAGCTCCTTAAGCCGAGAGTCCTCATGTCTATCGAAAAGAACTACCTCTATGGAAGTCTCGCTAGGTTCAACCGCCTTAAGTGCCATCAGAGTCGGTAACCGCTTCCCTTCTTCCTCCACGTCGTTGCACATCACCCACAGATACGGATTCATCCCCAATATGTTGTAGAAACCGTCCGATATCTTGTCCGTGTACGACAAGCACCCACTCACCTGAAAATAAAGTAAAACAAAACGTTACAAATCGGTAAACTACAGATATAGCTAGTGTCGTTTCATTTCGTTTCGTTTTGCTTTGTTTTGTAATGCGTACCCATAGACGATAAGAAACGGATTCAGCGTCCCACGTTTCGGGGCCAGCGTCGAGTGTGATGACAGGTTCGGAGGCGAGGCTTGCCAAGCAAGAGAGCCTCTCCGCCAACGCGAGTTGCAGGTAGTAGCTCTCTTTGTACTTCTGCGCGGTGCTGCGTTTTTCTTTTTCTTCTTCTTCTTCTTGTTCATGCTTCTTCGTCGCGTCTTCAGTGAAGACCTGAAACGACGACGTTTCGTCCTTGGTGACGTCACTTGAAAATGTGGCGGTGCCGTCCAGCGTGAACAGGCTTCCGGCGTAGCTGCTCCCGCTGGACAACCGCGGCAGCGAAACCTGCCGGTCGAAGTTCCGGTCGAAGGCATCCTTCACCTCCGACGCCGCCTCCGCCGCCTGCGGCGGCGGCGGAAGCGGAAGCAGAAGCTCGCGGTCGTCATCCTCCTCCTCGTCCTCGTTGACATAGGATTTGAAATTGTGTTGACTCGGCCGGTTCCGATCCTTCTTCTTATCGATCAACCAATCGCAGAAAGCGGCGATTTGTTTCTGCTTGGTTCGGAACTTGTCAGCGCCGGTGAAGAGGTCGGAAACCGCGGATTCCTTGGCGGAGGAGAAAACGACGTCGTCCTTGGCGGGAGTTTGCGGCGTTGGCTTTTTCGGCGCGTCGCTTTCAAAGGCAAAGGTATCTGATGATTTGATGGAGTTGAAGTTGACGATTTTGTTCTTCTCGCGATCCAATCTCTGCTTAGAAGATTCATCCAACCCTCTCTCCGGGAACTGCCTCGGGAAAAAGTAAGTGGCCCTGTGAGGCATTATTTTTTATGGCTCACTCAAAAACCGTGATCTCAAGTTCACGAACCTACACACGATGGCGATGCAAGCTCTCACGTGCAAACCACCACTCTTGGTCGCCGTCGTGAAACGCGAAATACTAGCGCCTTATAAGAAACAAATCAGTGACTAACAACAGTAGTAACCGCCATGGAGTTTAGTAATTTCTTTTCTTCTATTACACTCTACTCGCGAGAGTCGCGGATTCGATGACCGACTCCGCTAAAATCCGTCACGTGCGTCCAAACTCGATGACGACTTCGCAAGAACGATTGATGGAACCGACGAGGCCGCGTGAGTTTGCGGAACGAGTATTTTAATATATAGTAATGAGCTAAAGCAGAAGCAAACCCAGCGGTTTTGGAATTGGGGTTTTGAGGCGGTGGAAAGTGTGTGTGTGTGTGAGAGAGAGAGAGAGAGAGTCTAAAATTTGGTGCAAGCTATGGTTGGTTGGTTGGGTGATTGAGACGACGTTGTATTTTATGCAGAAGAAAGGGTTGGCATGCTAGTTGGAGGGATCATGGCATACAATACAACGGATGGGGAATGGAATCCAAAAGTGTGAAGTCGATGCTAACGTACGCAATGAGAGTCAGTGCGCACCCTTCGTCATGTTGTGACACGTAAACTACTGGCCAATGGGTTCGCGACACATTAACAAGGGGCACGCAGTGCGCACCTGCGCGTAATGTATTGCAGTCAGGAGCCGCGGGTTTTTTTTTTTTTTGGAAAAAGAATATATATGTATATTTATATGACCTTGCTTCCCAAATAATTATCCTTACATTTTATATAATATTTAGGTTAGACTTGTATTCTACAGTACAGTATCAACTTGTGTAATTAAACTATTCTTTTTGTCACAACATTATTTTTATTTATAGTATGAAACAATTATTATTTTAAAAACATAAGTACCACTACTATACACGCTCACTAACGGAGCTATAAATAATTTGAGTGTTTCATAAACTAGATTAAATGTATATTTAAATGAAATAAGTTTTAATTTAAAACTAATTAAACTTGATTAGTTAAATAAGATAAAAAGGCAAACTCAATTTATGTAAATGTTTACATTATTACATAAGGAATTTAGGTTAGTTAATTTAAACCACTAAGGCACTAAATCAACATTAGAACAAATCATAAGTTTTAATCTCAATGCAATTATTGTAAATAAAAAATTATAAAATAATTGGTAATATAAATTTATGTATTTCATATTAACTTTAATTTTTAATAGTTGTATTTGAAGTAAATAATCTTCAACAAATTCCACCATTTCCACCCTCGAATTTTCAATGTTTATTCTCAACTCATGTCTATTGATATAATACTAATTAAAATGTGTGTTAAATATTAAAAATGTTTTAAATAAAAATTTAATCAAATTTTATTTATTTAAATAAATATATTATACTTAAATTTTAAAATTTTCACAAATTAAACTTAAATTTTAAGTGTTTAACTTAATTTCGTTACATTTTTCTTATAAACATTACTTTCCACACTACTATCTAAACAAAACAAGTATATATATATATATATATATATATATATATATATATATATGTGTGTGTGTGTGTGTGTGTGTGTGTGTGTATATATATAG